CAGGCGCTCATGTCTATGATGTGTGTAGTATTTAATGAAGATACTAGTTCTGGGATTTGATAATGACATCTCGATGAGCATAGGTAGTTTTTTTGAACATTTATATTCATGCATACTTTTCTAGAAATTTCAATGATTTTTTCAGACTGCTATATAATGTTTAGCCATCAGTCACTAAGACTATATAAGAATAATTTTGAAGAGTTCGTAATTTCAATAAGTAGGCATATACTCAAATATTGAATAATCATATTGGTTGAGTTGTTTTCAGGTGAAATTACTCGAATTCATCTATCAACTTTCTTTTCTCGAGAATTAATATTTATCAACAACATGTTGATGAATACACAGGTTATTCAGTTGAGAAATTTGCGAGGAAATTTGTGAATGAAACATTGATATAAACTTGAGATTGAAATATCTCCCGGCATTTTTTTAATGGTTTTTGAGTTTTTTTAAGTGTCTAATGCATTTTTTAAGTATACCAGTTGCATTTCTGCTCTTGTGTATATCTGATACATATATTTTTTTAAACATTTCGTACTACCAGAATATAACAAATGATATGCTCTCATTTTTATCGGGTTATTTGAGCTAGCTAGTTCTATAATCACGTGTGCTTGGCTACTAGACAAATAATTCAATAAATATTCGTTTCGTGGAGTTGAATATTGTTGATAAAATGAATAATGAGAATGAAGAATTGTATTGATTATATATTGAGAGTTTCCCCATAGACGAGTAATTACACAGGCAGACGTGGCAGATGACCTAAAGTATAGGTTGAACGTCCACCCGTGTAGGTTTGTCTATTGATGAGTTGATAATGATGAATATTGAGTATAATTGGTTGATTATATTTTGGAGAAGCGCGGTATATCAGAGATTGGTCGTGGAAGAATATCCTGATGACTGGATTGAACGACTGCCTCTGATTTGCGTTTTATTATGATGATATGATATGAGATGATATGATATGAGATGATATATAATTTTTTGAGATGAATATGATATATATGTTTATGAGATGAATATGATATATATGTTTATGGGATGAATATGATTGATATTGAAGCATTGTGGTTTTTGTAGGAATGATCTGAAGAAATCTGGTCCTATTAGATATGTGGGAAAAGTTGATATATAAGGAATACAGACAGATGAAAAAGTAATGAGCATGTTGTTTTTTATTGAAGAGTGATAAGTAGAGATTTTTTTCTGGTGTACGTATTTTGGTAGTATTGTTAATATGAAGTTTTTTTCATGATTCTATAACGAACAAAACATTTTCAAGTGCAGAAAGTTTTATAAAAGTTATTTATACATATATCAAATAATAAATAAAAACCAAAGTTGATAATTCAGTGTGAATGATGAAATGTTTTGTGCATGTGATGAATGGTATAGGTAGTTTGAGAAATAATAGAGGATTCGAAAAGTAGAAAATTAAGAATAATTATACTAAGTTCAGCGCTGAAGGGCCTATTTTTCGAATCGCCTATGGATGATAGAATATAGGATTGAATGAGGTATGAAAGGTCAAAAGAATGATAACATGAAGAATGAATGAATAGAAATCTTCGAAAAACTGAATAAAACAAAAATGTGCAAGTTATTTTGTGAAAGAAAACAAGATTTAGTAAATTTCAATTTGTATAATGAAGAACCGCATTATAATAATGACTTTTGTGTTAACAAACATCTGAATAACCTGTAAAATAATAAAATAAGCCATGAACAAAAATCACAGAAGGAGTTTTTTCGCGAGGCACTAGCTAGAATTTGCTCACAATTCGGCATGCCAAAACCGAATTGCTACTATATGGAATTTTTTCCGTATAAGGCATTTCTGTTAGTGTATTTCAGTTCGGAATGCTAAAACCAACTGAACTCGGATTAACACAATTTCTGTATCGAGTTTAATTCTTCAAAATTAACATTTTTTTTTTTACATATCCAGTATACTTATCTGTTGTAGAAAAAATAAATAAGAGTACCAATTATTTCAAAATAAAACTGAGAGATTTTTATTGTTTGATAATACTAATAATATTTTCCAAGAGGTGCCTAACTATAGCCAAATCTGAATCGAGTCGTCAACCTATATGAAAATAACGTAACTATAGTAGGAGGTGTATGTACATTCAGAATCAATAAATTCATAAATTAAATGAAAATTATTGGCAATCATTGACAAAGAATGTCATGCAATTTGCATGAGTATGGAAATTTTGATACAAGAGCGACGCAATTTTGAGAAATGAAAAATTAACAAACTAGTTACTGAATAATTAAAAAATATACCTACTGTATATAGCTAAATACGGCTGAATAGTATATTGCACAATACCAAGTCCTATTGAATGACAACTAGTAGTCATAATTAAATTTGTAGATAAAACATATATACGTGTGTTAAAAATAATGGAGAATTTTGTCTCTCCCCAAATATTGAACATATTGTTTATATGGACATGACACACCCACACTACCACCTAACTATTCCTGTATGCGTACCTATACTTTTTGTCAATATAGTTTGTTTTATGTATATGTATTGTTATGTCCAAGACAAGATCTCAATTTTTTATGTAAGTGATTAAATATGTATATGTACTTGGAAATAGAATCTTGGGAAAAATACTGAATATGCGAATTACTAGAACATAACAGAAAGTTGTATCTGATGAAGTAAGATTTATTATGGAGAAGTATGTTGAAATATGATACGCTTATGACAGATGATAATGCAAGATAAGAGGGACGCCTCGAAGATGTACATGATGTTTAGGAACACCCTGTATATGTATAGGTAAAACTAGGTTTATTGGGGAATGCAGCAAAGTGAAAAGAGTACTCTTTAAAGTTTGTCCAAGCTTTCGGAATATTATATTTCCATCATCAGGGAACTACAACAATTTTCCATTAGGTCACATTAATTGTAGCAAAAGAAAAAATGTTTTTTCTACTTACATCTTTGTTGAGGTTGGTTCACATTAATGTTGATAATGATAAAATTGTATAAGACGATAATGACATAGTTGATAAGACTAACAAAAAACAGGATCAATCACAATTGTATGAATTTAGTTAATTTGTAAAATGTTGAAAATGTGAGAACATGAGAAAAAATCATCATTTTAGCGGCAAGTACTAATGATGTAGTAGGTTAAGTTTCTTCTTCTCCTCTTTCAATCACTACTTTGTGACTGATTATTTGTGGAAGGTTGATAGGTGGGAAAAGTGCCATAGCCACAATGTGCATTTGTTATAATCAGTCAAAAACCAGAAAACTGAAGGAGTAGAAGAGATATATTAATCCTCCTAGCAATTTGACTTTTGTCAAGTATGATTTATAATTTTATTTAAATTTTTTGTGAAGATAGATGAATTTAAAGAGAGAAAATGTTATTTATGTTATTTATGCGAATTCTCATTTGAATATGAGGAGTGGGTTAATTTTAAATTTCAAGTTGTGTTGAAGCATTGTCAACTGACAACAGGTATGCATAGATTTCACTTAAGTGGTCTACATCAGTTTTTTTATTAATGCACTTTGGTTCTTATTAACATAAAAATTGCTTATAAAACTGTTTTACCACTTAAATCAATTTTCTCAAAATTAAAAGATAAAGTCCCTCTTACATCTCAATCACATGTAGTTTATTGTATACCTTGTCAGGATTGTGACAGAAAATATATTGGCCAATCTAAACGGTCCATTTCCAATAGAATAACTTCCCACAAGAGTGAAAGTAGGCTGCACCCTGAGAGATGTGCCTTGGCTTGTCATGTCAATGAGTTGGATCACAAAATGAGCTATGAATCTGTGTCAATTTTAGCAAAGGAGAGTAATTACACTAAGAGGATTTTTCTAGAAATGGCTTTCATTTCGCAAGAACCAAAGTGCATTAATAAAAAAACTGATGTAGACCACTTAAGTGAAATCTATGCATACCTGTTGTCAGTTGACAATGCTTCAACACAACTTGAAATTTAAAATTAACCCACTCCTCATATTCAAATGAGAATTCGCATAAATAACATAAATAACATTTTCTCTCTTTAAATTCATCTATCTTCACAAAAAATGTAAATAAAATTATAAATCATACTTGACAAAAGTCAAATTGCTAGGAGGATTAATATATCTCTTCTACTCCTTCAGTTTTCTGGTTTTTGACTGATTATAACAAATGCACATTGTGGCTATAGCACTTTTCCCACCTATCAACCTTCCACAAATAATCAGTCACAAAGTAGTGATTGAAAGAGGAGAAGAAGAAACTTAACCTACTACATCATTAGTACTTGCCGCTAAAATGATGATTTTTTCTCATGTTCTCACATTTTCAACATTTTACAAATTAACTAAATTCATACAATTGTGATTGATCCTGTTTTTTGTTAGTCTAATCAACTATGTCATTATCGTCTTATACAATTTTATCATTATCAACATTAATGTGAACCAACCTCAACAAAGATGTAAGTAGAAAAAACATTTTTTCTTTTGCTACAATTAATGTGACCTAATGGAAAATTGTTGTAGTTCCCTGATGATGGAAATATAATATTCCGAAAGCTTGGACAAACTTTAAAGAGTACTCTTTTCACTTTGCTGCATTCCCCAATAAACCTAGTTTTACCTCTAACTAGTCAGCAACGACTACCCTCTCACATATATATATATATATATATATATATATTCACTTTTTTCAGTTCATAATTATATCTGAAAATTTTCTCTCGCAATACTTTCACCCAATCAAGGGGTTAAAACTTGAACGATGGAAACTTGTTATCTTTATAGTCCTCAATTGCAAATACGTTATCGAGTTTTCTCAATTCAGAATTTCTTTCCACGTCCTGTATGATGAATATCAATTATTCATCATACATCCAAAAACTGCATTGGTAGTAAAAACACACTCAACGCCTCGAAAAGAACTAAGTAATGATAGGTTCCATAGCTGGTGGTGGAAAAAGTATCTTCTTACCTCTGGCAGCTCGTCTGGGACCTTTCCCATCCAGCTGAGTGACAAAATGGGACAGTCGCTTTTTGCATTGATGGTTCGTTCGAAATGCAAGTGCATTTTATCCAGACGGAGAAAACCCGAACCTCAGTCCGTCAGGTCGAACGATCCATCGGAAAAGGAATTTCGTGAAAAATCTGGGCCATTTCTCGACACATCACCGCACTGCCCTGTCAATCCACTTTTTCCACTGCTCGCGCTCTGCTCGAACTGGATTCCATATTGATTTTCGCCTTTTCAGGATATCCGTTTCAGGCGCAACTTTCAGGGTTGAAATGCGCATGGCGAGCGAGCTTTGCTGGCTGGCAGAAGATTTTGTTTTCGCTTCTTTCCTGGCGAAATTTCGTTATACAGGCTGATTAATGGAAATTGTTGATTAGCCAAATTGGAATATCGAGATTTCCATTATACGTAATCCAATTGGAATCTCATTCGTAACGAGAGTACAGCTGTATTCAGGAAAAATGCGTACAAGTATACAGGGTATGTCAAGACGAGCTTACACTATCTCTATATCGATAATCAGTCGGAAGAAATTCATGAATATGAGCATGCTCATAGTTAGAATACGCTCTCTTCATCGAAATTATTTTCAGTAATGCAGTGTTGCCGCTTCTTTAAAAAAAAGCAACAACTTTGTTATTGCAAATAAAATACCCGGTATTTTATTGCATTTTCAGATTCTCCCGGAAGAGCTGATTTCATTGATACATCACACTTGGGGTCTATCGAAAATGATTACAGAGATATAGGGTGTTCAAAATCGAAACTCTTCAACTTAAGAATTTGTTTGTGACGAAACTACTCATTATCGGCCTAAGCCAGGGGTCGGCAACCTGCGGCTCGCGAGCCGCATGCGGCTCTTTTTATGTAATCTTGCGGCTCTCCAGGTCCATACGCAAACAATACTAAATGGAATCGATATGAATAAAATCGTTTCTATAGCAACTGATGGAGCCAGAAGTATGACAGGAATACATGGAGGGGTAACATCAATTCTTCAGAAGAAAATTAACCACGAAATTCTAACATTTCACTGTATAATTCATCAAGAAGCGCTTTGTGCCCAAACATTTCCGGCCGAAATAATTGAGGTCATGAACTTGGTGATTAAGATCATTAACAGCATCTTGGCAAAAGCTCTCTACCATCGCCAGTTCAAAGATTTCCTTGAGGAAATAAATAGCCAGTATTCTGACCTACTTCTGCACAATAAGGTGCGATGGCTTTTCAGAGGTAACGTATTACAACGTTTTGCTTTCATCTTGAGTGAAATAAAAACATTCCTCAATGAAAAAAACATCGACCATCCCGAATTGGAAGATGACAAATGGCTGCAAAAATTCAACTTCATGGTGGATACCACAATGAAACTAAATGAACTAAATCTAAAACTGCAGGGAAGGGGCAACCCAGCCTACGCTTTACTTGAAGAAGTAGTTTGTTTCGAACAAAAATTACTCATGGAGAGCAGTAACTCAATTCATTTTAAGAATCTGAAGAAGTATCGCGATGAGACCAATGCAACTATTGACACGAATTACTTCAGCATGGTTATAAAAAACATCAAGAATGGATTCGCTGGAAGATTCGAGCAATTCAAATCAAACAAAAGTACTCTCGCGTTTATAGTAAATCCTCTCAACACAAATACAAATGAGATCAACATTGAACCACTTGGAATTGATGCTGGATCGCTTCAAATGCAATTGTTGGATTTGAAAACCAAAGACTTGTGAAGTGGCAAGTTCACAGAACTCAAGAGTAAGTTAGAAGAGTTGGAGGTCAAGAAATGCATGCACATCGCGCAGCACAAGTGGACAGCTCTGAAAGAAATGCCGCACGTTGAGACCCTCATATTCGACGCATGGAATAGTCTTCCAGAATGCTACAGTGAGGTGAAAAAGTTGGCATATGGAGTGCTGACGATCTTCGGATCAACATATTCATGCGAGCAAGCGTTTTCTTGCATGAATATAATAAAAAGTAAAATTAGAAGTCAACTAACAAATGAAAATCTAGAGTCGTGCTTGAAACTTAAAACATCAAGTTATAAGCCAGATTTGATAAAACTTTCAAAAGGCATGCAAAGCCAATGCTCTCATTGATATACAAGGTGATTCTAAAATAGGTGGTCAAACTTTGGGAGTATATAGAGTGAGTGAAATAATTACGAAAACCTCGGTAACATTTTTTTCTGAAGTGCCCCCCAAGAAAGATACAGCCCCTCAGCGGGGGACCTCGGAGAATGATTTTGTATTATTATCTCCAACACCTTGTATGATGAAAATCTAAAATTTTGTTTATCCACCAACTATTCAGTGCCGGTTCCAATGCAGTTAAAATCACCTCAAAATTAAATACAGGGGTGTGTCAAAATAGGGAGGTAGGGGGTAAAAATAACCCCAACTTCTTCGTTCATCGCAATTTCAGCTTTTTTACATGAAATTATGAAATCTCAGGGCTATTAACATAGAATAGGAGCTCTTGTTGAATCTCGATATTCAGTTTATGGCGAATAAAATTTATTTTTCCAAGATTTCATTTAAATTGCAATTTTGGTGTGCACTTAAGTTTAATTATCTAGTTCAAATCTTGCAACTGAATTTTTAATGAACTTTTTGATAGAAAAAAATATGGCGGCTCCAATGCGGCTGACCAGATTTGTGATTATGGTCCGATTCGATTCAGAATTGGTTTGTAAGGGTTTTTGGGGTTGGAAATTTTGAATTCGTTGTCGGAATTCATGATCCTATTGAAAATACTGAAATAAAAACTATTGTTAATAACAAGCTTTTTTTTAAATTTCATTCGCTAATAGTTCATTTTATCGAGATGCAACAAGAGCACCTTTTCTATGTAAATAGCTCTGAGATTCCATAATTTCATGTCAAAAAACTGAAATTGCGATGAACAAAAAAGTTGGGGATATTTTTACCCCCTACCTCCCTATTTTGACACACTCCTGTATTTAATGTTGCGGTGATTTTTACTCCATTCGAACCGACACTGAATAGTAAGTGGATGGACGAAATTTCAGGTTTCCATTACACAAGGTGTTGGAGATAATAATAAGAAATCATTCTCCGAGGCCCCCCTTCGAGGGGCTGTATCTTTCTTGGGGGTCACTTCAGAAAAAAATGTTACGGAGGTTTTCGTAACTATTTCACCCACTCTATATGCTCCCAAAGTTTGACCACCTATTTTAGAATCACCTTGTATTTTCATAGGAATACAATTAATAATTATTTGGTATTCAAATCGATTTATTATGAATCGCAAACCAAATGTATAAGCAAATACTACAACATTGAAATGAAAATATTTCCAGTGGCTCTTTGAAAACTGAAAAATTTTGTGAATTGAACTTTTGGCTCTTCCGTTTCAATAGGTTGCCGACCCCTGGCCTAAGCGACTCACATGTCCCAACTTTTGATTCACTATTCACAGATATTCGATCGGAACAGATACAGGGTGATCAGAAATGTGAATGTTGAACCACCCTGTATCTGTTCCTATTGAATATCAGAAAATAGTGAATCAAAAGTTGGGACAGGGAAATGTGAGTCATTTTGATCGAATAATAAATAGTTTCGACACAAAAAAAATTTTAGAGGAAAAATCTCGATTCTGAACACCCTATTCTCTGTATTCATTTTAGATGGACCCCAAGTGTTACATCGATCAAATCAGCTATTCAGGGACAATCTGAAAATGCGATGAAATACAGGGTGTTTTATTCGAAATATCAATGTTGCTACTACTTTCTAGTAGGAGCGGCAACACTGCAATGTCAAAAATATCTTAAATGAGAAGAGCGTATTCTGAAACATGAGCATGCACATTTTCATGGATTTCTCTCGACCCATTCTCGATATAAAGTCGTGACATACCCTGTATTATAGAGAGGAAATAACGTTCTATTTGCGTAAGATGGGCCATTGGGTATGATTGTTCACCAAATGTTGACAATAAAGTTGTCATAGGTTCCTCAAAACTTAAAAGCATTGGCTGAGCCAGTTTTATACAACTAGAACTAAGATGCCGTAAACCTTTCTTTTCAACACACGTACGCTTTTTTATTGAATACGACTGTACAGTGTGTCCAGTTTTCGATGCATTTGCGTGATATCCCAGTTATTTTTGGGGATAGAACCTTTCGGTTTTCGCGGTCCTGTGCCATTTTCATATGAAACTCAAGATGATTTTATCAGATTTTGCATTACTGTTTCCGTTAATGAGATACAGGGCGATTTGGAAAATTTATACTTTTTGTACCCCCTCCATATCTACGAAGATTCTCAGCAAGAATCTCAAATCAAAATCACATTATTTGGTGGATTCTACGCAGAATCCAGGGACGCACTCAATTGTTTTTTTCGGGGTACGGTTTTGCAGATTCGACTCAAACTTATGATTCTCTAAATGGAACACCCTGTATTCTATAAGCTCAAATAATTTCGTATATCCTTTCTTCCAGAATAAGGTATGATGTATAGATATAACAATTCCAAAAATGCTTAAAAATCACTAAAACATTTAATTTTAACAGTGGCCTATGAATTTTTCATATAAAAAAAGTTGCAACATGCTCTACTAATAATAATAATAATAATAATAATTTAATTTATTTGCAAATTGATATGTAGGTACATAATTAAGATCTCAATTCACTAATGATAATTATAATAATCTAATCTAATATCCACCTTCCCTATTAGTTACAATGCTCAACAAGTTGATCAGAATACAAATTTCAAGCAAAAAAATTTGTAGGTTATCCACTAAAGGCCTAGCCTTGATATGTGGATTTATATCTCCATAAATGTATAGGTATAATTATAATTGAGGTTATAAGAGTAATCTCGCAGGCGCAACATTGTCCAATTCACATTAAAAAAAAATCGAAGATTTGAACATAATGAGAAGAGTGACACTATTACCTACCCTTGGAGTTGGCACTAATTCATCAATCATATTATATAATATAGACTCATAGACATTTATACCATATGCATTATTACCTATAAGTTTCATATTTCTCTTTTTTATATATAATCAACCTCATATAATGAGAAATAAAACAATATAATTTAACGAATACAAAAAGATTATGAATCAATTTGCAGATGAAGAAAGAAAAGGATGACTAAAGAGCAAACCAACGAGAAACTTGACCATCTAACTTCATTATTTGTTTAAATTTGTACTACAGTGTAAGTATTTCTAGTATCTATAAATGCTTGTATATGTATTTCCTTTCTAGGTATTCCCTGTAACCATTTTCTAATGTTATTTTCGAACATTTTAATAGAGTTGATTTTCTTTGTTTCTGGTTTCAGATTGTTGTATAACTTAGGTCCTAGATAAGTATGACATCTTTTAGCAATAGTTTTTCCTGGTTTGGGTATTGTTGTCGTGTTCATGAGAAATCTCAATGAGTTTGTGTTTTTCTTTGTGTTGTTTCACTAATAGCTTTAGGCAGAAAAGTTGCCAAGGATCTAATATTTCAGATTCCTTGTATAACTTATCTGATGGGTAAGTTCTTGGTTTTTTGAATATTATTTTAATGAAATATTTTTGTTTTTTTTTCTAGGTTACTCATGGACGTGATACCTGCCCCTTCCCATGCTACAATTCCATATATTATGTTACATGTGATTCGACAAGAGCATAGTATAATGTTTTAAGTTGTTCTATCCTGAGTATGTTTGAGAGGTATTTGAATTTATACAGAAGTTGTCTCAGTTTCTTAATCACAAAATGTATATGTTTTTCCCATTTTAGGTGATTGTCGATATAAACTCCTAAATATTTCATGTTGTTTGAGGAAGTTATTTCATATATTTCATTTCTGTGAGTAAAGGTAAGTTTAGTATATGTTGGTAAATACTTCGGATATGAGGTGAAGGGTACGAAAAATGTTTTGCTAAAATTAATAGTTAAGAGTTTTTTGTGGAACCATTCCATTATTGTTGGGAAATCTCTCTCAACTTTTTGTTTCAGTTGGTTCCACGACAAGTCCTCATAAAAAATAGCAGTGTCATCTGCGAATGTAATAATTTTTCCTCCCGTCCTCGTTATGAACAAATCATTCAAGTATAGTATAAAGAGAATTGGACCTAATACCGTTCCCTGTGGGACTCCATATTTAACTGTCATTGTATCACTAGATATATTTCCTATTCTAACATATTGTTTTCTATTAGTCAAGTAACTTTCTATCAGTTTATATTGAGTTCCTCTGAATCCAATTTTTTCTACTACTCTTTCTTTCTACTCATGGCAGAGTTATGCCATGAATTGATTCCAATTATTCCTTTTATCAAGTTCTCGAAAATTGTTTTGTGGTTCGACTTTTCGATTGTTTTGTGTTGGTTACAGAATGCACCTACTAAATGGACCACATTTATATGTTATAGTGTATCAGAGATACAGGAGCATACTCCTGATGTTGAATGGCAACATGTTCTTTCTGATGAAAATCCTGCTGATTATATTCCATGTGGTTTGAACTCGATCACTTTGATATCTTGTCAGCAATGGTGGTACGGACGGAAATTCTTGAATGAATGCAGGTTGGAGCTTGAAACTCTTTCTTCCATAGAAATGGAATTTATTCCTGAACAAACGTTGATAACTTTAGTTCCTTAGAATAAATTCACAGGAGCAATAAAAATATTCTCTAAATTTTCGAAATTCCGTCGACTTGAACGCACAATAGCTTATTGTTTACGATTCGTGAATAATTGTTCAAAGGTACAGTGTTATTCTAATGGTCCTCTTCATATCGTCACAAACCATGCTTTCTCATCTCAGATTGAAATTTTGGCCAAAAAATAGATTGAGAGCAATCAAATGGGAAGTGAAAAATTACGTTACTTGTAAAAGTGGGTTCACTACCCTCTGATAGACTTGCGATTGTACGTCCTTTTCCCAAGGTAGGGGTTGACTTTGGGGGTTCCATTAGCTATTAAGGCCTTTATTCCGTTGTTTGTTTGTATAGCTACTAAGGCAGTTCACATAGAACTTGTTCCTAGTCTTTAAACAGAAGCGTTTCTTCTTACTCTCAGAAGGTTTATTGCTCGGATAACTTTCAGGGTGCTGATAACCCATTGAGACAAATTTAAGATCTCTCTCGGGAAACGGAAAATTTTATTCTGAAGATTTTTCATCAACCAAGAAAATACGATGGAAGTTAACACTCCCCAATAGTCCACACTGGGGTGGATTATGAAAGGCTAGTATCAAATCTACTAAATTCCACCTCAAACAACTCTTTTATGTCGATTCGAGGCCATACAAAACTCTAGACCCCTATCTCCTATTTCAACAGTTCCAGAAGATTAGTCGTGTCTCACATCAAGTCATTTTTTGATAGGAGAATCATCATTGTATTTCCCGGAAGTTGATATTTCCAACGTTCCTGACAATATACTGAAAGCATGGGAATGTTATCAAAGAATGAGACAACAATTTTGTAAACGTTGGTTTATAGAATACCTGAATAGACTTCAAAATAAACCAAAATGGGCCAAAGTATTCCAGAATTCGGAAGTTAATGATTTGATTTAAGTGAAGGAAGATAATCTTCCACCTCTTGAATGGCGATTAGCTCGTATTATGAAGGTGATGCCAGGATCTGATAAAAAGGTTCGAGTTGGTGAATTCGTACAATGTCCGGGAATTTTGTTAGACCGATTACAAAATTGTATCCTCTTTCATGTGCAGATGGAATCAATCAAGCCGGTGGGGAGGTTGTTGGAATCGAAAGGCAACGATAATTCCTCAGTATATTGTTGTAAAAAGCGATTTGGTTTCTCTGTGAGATGGGTTTTTGTTGATTAAATAATGAAGTGTTGTCAGATTGACTTAACGAATTGATATAGCTTCAATAATTTCTAATAACTGTCTGTATACCGAAGGATGCAATAACGACTTTTTTCTACTTGGATACCAATTTAATACAGTCCACAATTTCACATGAAAACTAGCGAAAGCGACACTCATCAATGAATTTTGAAGAGTTTGTTACTTTGAGAAGATAAGAATGGTTGACAATGTTGAATATAATATGATGATACTTTGATGACAAAATCGAAATGTCGCCTACTACATGCGACATTTCAGAGTATGTCCTTAATCCATCGAGATAGGCTGAATGAAACTAGAGTGGAAAGTAAACACACTATAATCATTTCAGCATCCCAATCACAATAGTCCACTTTGACAATACGAGTTCAATAATGTGTTTTCACTTAGCGATATGGTTTTTGCATACATTTTAGTCCCTGAGGAATTAAGTTCTAAAAGCAGGGCAAAAATACTAATACGATAAGCAATCATTATCATCTCTACATCATCGCAATCTAGAATCCAGATCAATGTTTGATTCGCATTCTGCAGTATAATTTCCTGGAATCAGTGGCTTCGTCAATGTGAGGAAGTCTTTCAGAGGACATATTTCCTTGCAGTTCTTCAATTTCAGTACCTCGATTTCACTTTCTCTTGATCTAGAATAAAGGATCTGAAAAATAAAAACCAATCAAATGATATATTCATATTCAAGCTTCAAAACTGTTGATAATAATAAATGAGTATCCTTTGATAGTGATCGACGAAATTTCTAATCTAACAACCATCGTCTGAATTAAGAACTCGATGAAAATATTGGACTAAAGATTTTTCAAGTGTCAGATTACCTTTACCTCTACGACTGGTAGAGTTACCTCTACGACACTCATTTTGAACGATTATGAAGGTACATGTAACGTGCTTATACAGGATGTCTCATAGTTAACGTGCAATACTTCATTAACAGATTCAACGATCAGAAATGGGGAGAAAGTTCCATAAACATAGGGCGATAATGTTTCAGGAGCGAGTTAGAATCTCATAAAGGTGGTCCCCTGGAGAAAGTTTTTATTTTATTTTTTCGAAACTGTTGATAACAGAATTATAAGATAGGAAGCACCGTTCTCGAGTGAAATCGATTTGGAAATTACTTCACATGTCACGAAAATTCATACTGAATTTACAAAATCCAGAAATCTTTGTGTAGGCTATGAAACACGGCCACTATGATTGGCAGAAAATAATCAAGACATGTGACAGATTCGTGAAATGAGAGACAGAAGGTGTACGCAACTGGAGTGGACACGTGGGAATAACTCCTACTCAGAACAAATGAGGCTGCGAATTGAATTAGATTAAACCAATTTCAAGAATTCTTCGTGCTCCTCAAGCTATGAATCGTCAGTGAGCCACTGTGGAAAATATGATAAATTTAGTATTTTTTATAATCAAATAGATTTAAAAACTCCCTGTCACTTATTGCATAAATATTTCATATTCCCAAACAAACATTGTAGACGTGTTTCATGTCCTACGCACAAGTTTTAAATTTTTGTGAATTCATTATGAATTTTCATGAAGTGAAGTAATATTACGTTGCTTCCTAGCGAAGTTGAACAAAAACAACCTCTCCACGATAATTCCTTTGAGGATTCATAATTTTATGCTGAAATTGCGGAGGAACCGCACAAAACGAATTCGTCAGTATGGCTACATAATATATTTCTGAGGTAGGTCCCTGCTGAGATCACGAAAACACTGTATGGCGGTGCCATCCATAGTGAGCACGTGCAGACCACTACATCTACAACGTTGCGAAGTTATACTACAAGTTACTCACTCTACTGACAGATTGCACTACCTGACTACTTGAGCAAAAATGGTAGAATTGAAGATTATTTGTAGAGGAAGGTTGCCTCGATCAGCAAAACGCGGTGAGGTAATAAGTAGTGAGTGAGTCGTGTTGCAATATAATCGAAAATTCCTTTTCGGAGCAGAGCCGGACCGTGGGCGTGGCGAAGGAGGCATTTGCCACGGGTGCAAACGACCTAGGGGCGCAAAATGTGGAATATAGTATATTCCATTTTAAATAAAGATTGACTACAAGCTCTATATTTCAGAGTGGCGTATTTACCAGTTCACAAAGTTGAGTGACACGTAGTTAACAAACTCTACCAAAACGGAACAAAATCCTAGAAAATGATACATGGCGCGAAACACGTCAAAATCAATCTGGCACTGCAGAACCAAAGATTAAATGTTGAGGATGGTGCAAAAATGATAAATGGACTATCTGATTAAATTCATAATTATAGATCTGATTTCTTCGAGTCTCTATCAGAATCCTCCAAATCATTCGCTGAAACAATCAATATTGGAGCGAATTTTAGAGAGGAGAGGACACGTAAAATTGAAAAAATGCCAGGAGAAGAAACTAATGATGCGGCTTCCATTACGGATAGGAAAAGTCTTTTGAAAAAAGAACTCCTTCAAGTATTGACTCCATATCGATGCAACTTGGAGAAAGATTTACTGCGCTGTCAGGAGTTTATGAAGACTTAAATTTTTTGAAAGGAATATCTATAGAAATGAAGAAGAAAGCTGCGGATTTTCTCATTGAAATATAGTTTCGATTTGGATCCGTATGCGAATTATAGAGCTTCAAATTTCAAGCATGTGCAATGTTTACGGACAAAATGAATGCTCTTGATATTCTTCGGAAAATGCGTGAATTGTCGCTTCAAACAATATATCCTAATCTGGACACAGCTGTCAGAATATTCTTAACATAACCAGTGACCACAGCAACATGTGAAGGGTCGTTTAGTAAATTGAAATTAGTGAAAACTCACTTAAGGTCCTCGATTGAGTTTTTGTTCATTACCTTTTAAGAAATATGGGAGATAATTGTGAATAAAAAAGTTCTTCAAAATATGTTCAATAAATGTCAATTATAAATAACATGTATTTATTGAAAACTGAATTTCTTCAAGGGCGCATTTTGAAAGTTTGCCACAGGCGCTAGAATCCTAGTTCCGGCTCTCGAAGTCATAGAAATCTTTATTTTTCAACTGTCTTTAGTGTATTGTCCTATCCAGCCGTGATCTAGAATTATGAATACTTCTCTATATGATCCCAAATTGACATTTTCAGGATGCGATTACGTCACTAATCCCCACTACCTCTGATCGTGGCAATCTTCCTCCACATATAAATCATCATTTCCACCAACCTTGTACTCGAGTGAAAGATCCAACAATTCTTCTCAATGAACTAGATATGATATCTCAGATCTTGTTCAATTATGTTTTTACCTTGATTCCATATTCATTGCCTTCTATACGATGAAGTTCAATGATAACTGCAGCACTGTATTCTGGAAAATGTGGTTCAGTCAAATTCAGAGCAACCAATGTATTATAAACGACATAATCGTGTCCAGAATATAAAATGATCTTCCTCCTCTCGGGTTGAAGTTCATTCTTCGATTTTGATATCATGTTCTTCAGAATCTGCTGCCAAATTCTTCCTGAAAAAAATAATTGTTCAAGAGGAACGGAAGATATTTCCCCATTACTACTACTCTTCTTTCAATTCGAAATATCCAATATCTCATCTATGATTATTCAATAAATTTTTTTAAAATGGAATATGATGATAGTGAAAATCAACACAATCCGGGTGCTTTTGGGGGTCGTAGATCATTATTCCTTCCTCGAAATTGTTAAATTCAAGATGGCGAATTCAATATGGCGAACGACTCTGATTTTATTCAAAATTCTAGTCTGAGGATGTTTGGGAACGAAATGGTAATTGTCTCGAAATTTATTCAGAATTGGTATCTAGGGGTTCTTGAAAAAAAAAGATTATGATTTCTTCTCGAAATTTGAGAATTCAAGATGACAGATCCAATATCCGAGATTTGTATCTTAGGAGGTTTTCGGGTCGGAGATTATGATTCCTTCGCCATAATTAGAGAATTCAATATGTCGAAAGAGCTATGTGAATATTCTTCTAAGAAACCAATGAAATACACTTCCATAAATAGCCGATCTGATGATACGAGAAAATGAATAGTAGTTAGATCTCAAGAGGTTAATACCGAACTGAAAGGGAGTAGAAAATTAATGGTGTTTCGGAAAAATGATAGAACATGATTATATGGTTGATCAAACTGGAAAGGAGTAAAAGATAAAATAATAAGAGTGTGTTCTCGAATATGTTACTGAAAACTATTTTCTAGAAAAAATGGATATAGCAAAACAACGTTTGCCGGGTTTTCATCACGGGCTCAAAATTATGAAATAATATTTTTGAATATTATGAAGGATGAAACCACAATATACAGATTCCTGATTTTTTTCGATTCATCCTGAAAATTCACACTTGGCTACTTTTGAAATCTCATAAAATACTTCTGGGATTGTAAATGAAGTACATGGGGCGCATGCAGCAGATAATAACAATGATAACTGTTTCACCTTATCTCGTGGGAATCTGATTACAATATTGATAGTTATGAGGGGCTCATTTAGTCATTAATAAAAAAAAAGTCTGGTGGCGTCTGACGGGGCTCTCATCCAATATTATTGACCAAAAAAGTTACCCCGCTGACTGTTTTTGTGAGTTCAATGTTCTTTTCGTAGTCATCAACTTATACAGCAATTTTTTCACCACCCATAGTGTTTTCGTATCTCGCTTTGTTCTTGAGATAAATAGTATAATAACCACCTTATCACAAATACATGATTGTCCATGGACAAAAAATGAACCATCAAAAAATTATGAGAAAATTTTTCTCTTGAATCTCCTGCAACGAAGACCTAATTTTGAGGCAAAAATATGGTATGAAAGTGTTTTGAATAGCGCTTCCCTCGACATTCGGAAAAAAGTATTCTACATATCCGTCTGAATATTAGGTGAGAATTTGTCCTGTTTATTTTGTTAGAAGGGCAAGAAAATGAATTATTCTAATTACCTCCTTGCAACTTCTTCATGTCAGGCGTGAAATTCTCTAGAATGCACCTTTCCAGAGCAAATTTGGAAAGTATCTCTGGATATACTTTTTTCGTCCATTCCGGCAGAGTCAAATTCATCTTGTCTTCCGCAAGTAGAGTCTGATACAAGAAAAAACCATCGTATATCGTTTCCATTTTCATCCCGGTATGATTCGAAATGTATTCCATGGAATCCTTGTGGTTCCTCAGGAAAGTCTGGACTTCTGTGGAGTTCTGTGCTTCATTGTATTGTTGGACGTATTTTGGACAGAAATGATGAGCTCTCACGAGTAACTGCAAAAGATTTCGAAAAATCAAGAGTCGACTTCTTGAATTATTGTTTCATGAATTTTCATAAACAGAAAAAATAATTGTTAGAAACTACAAGATTTTTGTAAATTCAACAAAATCTGAGTGTCATATATCCACGACAAAATATTTTGTCACCGCAACGAAAGTTTTTTGTCAGTTCTGAATTCAGAATTCATTTGATGTAACTCATAAATGATTCAAATTAACAGCAGGAATTGGTTGAATAAACAAAGACTATTTTGTTCCTATAATACAATATCTGCTCTTATAACAATTCTGTTGATTGAAATGATGATATCATTTCATTCAAGTGAAATACAGTTCTCAACACACCAAATGGACCACTCATAATTTGAATCTATTTCGAAGACCTGTATTTTTTTTAAAAATTGACCGATCTTCATGCGGTTTTCGATATCAGATGTGATGTTTCATCGACTTCAAAGAGAGCTAGAACAATCTGAAAAAGTCCGCAAAACAAAACTCACACAGGGTGTAAAGTGGAACCATTACACTATGGTCTACATTTCCAATGCTGCCAGAACTCGAGAAATTTTTTCCTGATCAAAAGTCAGTCATATTATGATACACTGGGACCTCATCTCGAGACGTTTTCGTGATTTCCCCTTAATTGGCCATTGAAACAAAAATTCGATTTTTTTTTCGAAAGTCTTGCATTTCTTGATTTTTTTCTCTAGAACTCCACTTGAGCTGACTATTGGGAAGAACTGTTCTCATGTTTTATGGAGGATAATGAAAGACGAAAAAAGCACTTTTTTGGATTATACAGGATGATAAGAAACTAGGACAAAATCTCATTTCAGTGAAAAAAATCAAAAATGGTGACTAAAACTATGGCCCATTCGATCCAGTATATTCAGAAACGGCCTTCTCGATATCCATTATTTATATTAGACCATTAACTCGAGACGTTTTCGAAAATTCGCCTCCAAATGAAATACAGGATGAAAATTTCCAATTCAAACTTGTTTCCTGATATTGATGGTTTCCAATATTTATTGCCCAAGTATGAGACATAGAGTATTGTTGTTCAATGTACTGAGTGTTCTACAACTTATCTGACAAATTTCAACCACAACTACGATATTACATAAGAAGTCTATCACAAAAAAAAATTATAGAAGTAAAACGAGATGAAAAATAAAATTTGTAACACTTTATATCCTCTCTATTGGCGAAATATGACATTATTGAATTCTTCAGCATTATGAAGATCCAACTAGAAAGTCCTATATCCTAAATTTCAGTACTTGGTAGGCCTCCCCGATTCAACAAAACCTCATGAAATCGGTTTGGCATAGATTTTATGAGGTTGTTGATGAAGTCTATTGATATTGCTGCCCATTCTGGATAAGGTTGTCATTATTTTGGGGTGCCTCGCCTTCTCGATAGGTCAAGTTTCATTCGGCTCTACACATGTTCAATCAAATTCAGATCTGTAGATAATGCTGGTCACCACATTCTTCTAACATCATTGTTTTCTAGAGTTCGTAATTTGTCAGATAAGTTGTGGAACACTCAGTATATTGAACAACAATGCTCTGTGTCTCATACTTGGGTAATTAATATTGGAAATCCGTTGATAAAATGATGAGAATCATCGATATCAGGAAACAAGTTTGAATTGAAAATTTTCACCCTGTATTGTCCTATTTTTTTATCACCCTTTTCGAATAGTTTTAGTTGATATTAAGTGTTACAAATTTTATTTTCCATCACGTTTCACTTCTATTAAATTTTTTTGTGTTAGACTTCTCATGCAATATCGTAGTTGTAAAACACTCAGTATATTGAACAACAATTCTCTGTTTCTCATACTTGGGCAATAAATATTGAAAATCATCGATATCAGGAAACAAGTTTGAATTGAAAAATTTCATCCTGTATTTCACTTAGAGGCGAATTTTCGAAAACATCTCGAGTTAGTAGTCTAATATAAATGATGGATATCGAGAAGGCCGTTTCTGAATATACTGGATCGAATGGGCCATAGTTTTTGATTTTTTTCACTGAAATGAGATTTTGTCCTAGTTTCTTATCATCCTGTATAATCCAAAAAAGTGCTTTTTTCGTCTTTCATTATCCTCCATAAAACATGAGAACAGTTCTTCCCAATAGTCAGCTCAAGTGGAGTTCTAGAGAAAAAAATCAAGAAATGCAAGACTTTCGAAAAAAAAATCGAATTTTTGTTTCAATGGCCAATTAAGGGGAAATCACGAAAACTTCTCGAGATGAGGTCCCAGTGTATCATAATATGACTGACTTTTGATCAGGAAAAAATTTCTCGAGTTCTGGCAGCATTGGAAATGTAGACCATAGTGTAATGGTTCCACTTTACACCCTGTGTGAGTTTTGTTTTGCGGACTTTTTCAGATTGTTCTAGCTCTCTTTGAAGTCGATGAAACATCACATCTGATATCGAAAACCGCATGAAGATCGGTCAATTTTTAAAAAAAATACAGGTCTTCGAAATAGATTCAAATTATGAGTGGTCCATTTGGTGTGTTGAGAACTGTAATTTTCAGTTTTCCAGAGAGTGAATATGTTGAAATAACAATATATATTCTTCGATCAACCAAATTGTATTCAAAATTGACAAAATATTTTGCTGAATAATATTGAAAAAAAATCCAATCATAACTGAATTTCAAAACTAAGAGAAATTAGAGATCAATTCCCCCAGTTGATTTAATACTATTTTTTTAACTCGGCTACGCCTCGTTAAAAAAATCAGATCTCGATCACCAAAGTAGCATTTCGCGCTCTAGATACAAAAATAACTATTGTTGGTGCAACAAAACTTTTTTTTCCTGTGTATCATTCCAATCCACATGTGAGGTAGTATAACAAACTATGAGAATTGAGGACCATCAATATTATTATATTGTCGCGGACGCCACTGCCTATGCCACTGCCACGCGAACGCCACTGCCTATGCCACACGACTTTGCCTAGAACCAGCGACGACGTCTATGCTGACTTAGCACCGGCGTACGGGGTACGGAGGGGTGTCATGATTATGTTACTTGTAAACTTATGTAAAACATGATGTTAGAAATGTACTTCGCTTGTCAATTTACCATCTGACAGACAAGTCAATTAAAACTGAATCAAGAATTCTGGCTTCTATCTAGACACCACCCTGTATTATTGAGCTCCCCCAAAAGTAGGCGTGATAATATTCTCACTCATGAACTCAAATTATAGAAGACTATACAGGATTATTCAGAATAAGGTCGTTAAACTTCAACTACGGATTCCGAAATATTTTGAGGAGAAAAGTTCCTTAAACTATATACAGTTCGTAAAATGTAGGGAATGAATTGATTATATCTATTTTATTAATATCTATTTGTCCAGAATCCCTTTAACAAAACAATTGAAATATGTTTCACCATTATAATTTATTCAATGTTCTCATTTTGGAATTGACTTGAGCGGTATTGAAGTTACTGGTGTATATCCCCACATATTCTTTAAAACATTCTCCCGAAGAGATGGATTGTCAAATTGGTTGGTGTATAGGAAAAATCTGAATACCCTCCAAATGAGGTAGGCAGTCCGTACACGAAGTTTGTCGACCTCATTCTACCTTCTGTATACTCCACTATACTTCTCAATTGCTCAGTTCACAACATTTTTCAAAATGATCAAAGATGAGCCAATAGAAAATATCATAGTTCTAGAGAATAGGAAAACCGGTATTGATTCAGGATATGGATGCAAGAATTAATAAGTACTCACATGGAAATAAAAAATGTTGACATACTAATATAGTATAGTTGATAACAGTGCAAACAGGGGAATATGTTTCATGATGAATCATTTGTATTCCAGTGAAATATCGAAGAATTGGCATGTTTGACCTATTTAAAATAGTTCCAGCAAGTTTTCAACTTTGATCAAGTTCCGGTTTGTCCGCCATTCTCTTCATGAAATCATCCCTAATATGGAGTTGCAGTATCGTCTTGTTCAATTCTCTCTCGAACAAGATCAAAAACGATGAAATCGGTCCATTAATATAAGAGACATTCTCCGAAAACAATTTTTCCTTTTTTCGACAACCCTATAGTCACGAAATTGATGACACACTCACGGTATCTTCGTTAAATTTCTCGTACGCTACTGGGATCGGCTGCCAAGGCAATTGTTCGTTCCAAATCTCGGATTCCGAAGGAGGAAATAGTCCTGCCAATACCAGTAGTGCCGACATTTTGGTTCTGGAGTAATCTGTGCTGCGTGCCAGCGCCATTTCAGGATAGAAGAGTTTTCCCAAAAATTCGTTGTATCGCTGCCTCAACATTTTTCCCAGTTCATATTCCTGTCTTTTTCCTAGCTGAAAGTATACGAATGCGATATATACGTTTGCGTATCTCAAACCAAAAATTTCCTTAGATGAGTTAATGTTTTGTCAATTGTCACTTATGATTGTTATTATGATGAAGATGGAAAGCCCTAATTTCGAGTGACAATGGAAAATGAAAAAACTCCATCGTTTCGTGTGAGATTCGAACTCACAACCTCTGGAATATTCTCTCAACTGTGGTTACATGCCCAACGCTCTGCCAATTGAGCTAACGGGGCATTTGTCGATCATCACACACTAATTCATTATATTATGTATCTTCTCGGTTGAGTCACCGACAAAATTTACGACTGACTCCTATGTATGATTGCCTCCGGACATTTCCGTATACAAGGAAAGATTATAGCAGAGGAGGAATGGGGAAATATGGAGAGTGTATAGTACCATCCTGCCAGCGATGCTCCGTATAGTGCATGATTTCGAGTGACTTCGGGAATCGGAAGGATTCTGCCGCCTAGTGTGTGATGAGAACCCGAACTTCTTGCCGATTGATCGACGGAATGCCCCGTTAGCTCAATTGGCAGAGCGTTCGGCATGTAACCCAGAGGTTGTGAGTTCGACTCTCACACGCGGCGGTGGAGTTTTTTCATTTTCCATTGTCACTCGGAATTGGGGCTTTCCATTTTCATCATTATATGTATCTTTTCGGTTGGGTAACTGACAAAATTCTTGTTTGACCCCTACTTTTTGTATTGTATTGTATTTTGACCACCGCAATTTTTTTTTCTATACATTGTGCTCAGTAGAGAACAACACTTTTGGAATCCATATTATTCCATAACAGATTTCAAGAATCTTCATACTCCAACAAAATAGCACATATCCGAAAAAAATAGGTATTCATTATACGAGGGAAAAAAGTTGTTGATTTCAGCTCCAGGTTGTGTTATCTCCCGACGCGTAGCTGAGGGAGACAAAAAACCGTGAGCTAAAATCTAATATTTTGCCCGTGTATAAATTACTATTCCTTTCTGTGATAGAAGAAAGGACGAATCCATATTGAGAAGATATTAGATTATTTTGAAATCTGAAAATCATCGAGATGAAATTTTGAGTTTTTAACAGTGGGGACACCTCATATACGTATTAATAATCAATACGGATAATCTCTATCTGTTTCCATAGCGAAACATGAAGCCGATTTTTGAAGACAAATGACTATCCATAAGGAAAAGTTTTGAAACGATCAGACACATACTGCTTTGATTGAAAGGCTAGTAAACGTCATTGTCCACCGAAACGCATGTCTTTGATGACTACTATAATAGCGCATGGCGCATGCGTATCATGCCACCAAATCCTTATGGATATTCATTTGTTTCATATTTTTGGCTTCATCCTGGTACCCGTTATGATCCGTATTGTTTATTAATACGTATATGGGACACCTGCGTTGTTGTCATCTTTATCATTCTCTTGAAGTAATCAAATATCTGACGTAACTTCTGTCAGTCTAATTCTGATTTGATTTCAAAAAATTGCGAATTTAGTGGTTGTGTTAGTAATATACCTAACCGCGAAGTCGAATGGAAGATAAAAAAACTTGCAGTTCTTCCTCGGAGACGGTACTTTTGACTAATTTTCCAAAACAATAGCACAACAAAAGCCATCAACAGTGTATATATATGTGATATATATCCGGGAAAAAAGTAATATATGAATTGACATTTCATAACCTGCCAACAGAGGTGAAATGCCAAACTTTATTCCCGTCACAGAAAAAAAATAATTTGAATTCCAAGAGCAGCTGTGTTTTCAACATATCAGAAACGCTCAATAAGTATCACGAGCGTTTTTATTTTATAATATTCAGACAACCGCACTGAATTCACTCCTGTATTTCATCGCATTTTCAAATTCTTCCTCAAGAGCTGGTTCTATCTATATATATCTTGCTTGGGGTATATCAGAGAAGATTACAGAGATATAAGGTGTTCAAAATCGACAATTCTCATCTCTAGGATTTTTTTGTGTCGGAACTATTCATAATTGGTCAAAACGGCTCATATGTCATAATCTCAAATTTTGATTCCCTATTTACTGATATTCAATCGAAACAGGTACAGGGTGGTTCAGGATTTTGAATTCTGATCACCTTGTATCTGTTCCGATTAATCATCATTTAAATCAAATCGAAAATTCGGATTGGGGAATGTGAGCCGCCTTGGCTGATAATAAATGGTATCGACACAAACAAATCCTAAAGTTGAAAAATCTCGATCTTGAACACCCTATATCTCTGTAATAATTTTCAATAGACCCCAAGTGTGATACTACGGAAGCGTATTGGGGCCATCATGAACAATTTTTTATCTTGAAATTTCAACATAGCTAAGTCGAAATTTCAACATACTAAGTCGAAATTTCGACATATATATCTTGAAACTTCGACTTGGCTATGTTGAAACTTCAACTTACCTATGTTGAAATTTCGACTTAGCTAAGTTGAAATTTCAACTTACTAGCTTGAAATTTCAACATAGCTAAGTTGAAATTTCAAGATAATAAGTTGAAATTTCAACATTCTAATTCGAAATTTCGATAGACTTGGGTCTAGGAAATTAAGAGCTAACCGAACAGTTTCATGAGTGACCGGTAATCCATTTCGAATGCATCCACTTGTTACCATGTAGTTGTCCATACTTTCCGATTTCATCGGTCAAAAAATCCAAGAGTTGTTCAAGTTGTTTATATTTTTTCCACCATCACTAGCTATAAAACCATAAAACCTACCATTATTTACTCCTTTTCGAGGCGTGAATTGTGTTTTTCCTAATAAAATAGTAGATTTCGTCATTTTATTAACTACTGGTCAATAATGACATAGCCACCTCTGTTATATAATTAACCCGAATTCACTGTTCTGATGCGAGGTTCTCGATAATGGCCCTCGAATCTAGTAGGTATTCATCATTGTCATATGCTGTCATGGTTATGGCTACTAGATTTATTCAATTGGAATTGAAGAGAAGTGCTTTCATAGTGACAATAGGTTTGATGTATTACTAGTGATGAAAAAAATTTGATATACACCTTGGTATTGGAGAATATTATTACCACGGGACCTTATAACCCTCGGCTGAGCCTCGGGATATAATCTTGGTCCCTGGGTAATAATGATATGCTTTACTACCTTGGTATATAAATAACTATTCTTCTGTACAACTTCATTTTCCTGAGGCCCTTCTCAATGTTCTCCTGTTTGTATGGATTTTATGTCTCTCAGAAGGAAAAAGGAAAATTTCACTCTGGCTGAATCCGAGTAGAAAGTAGAATTTGATTGAATCATACATATTTGCTAAACATAACTCGTGTCGATCGTTTGTTTAGAGCATGTACAACCGTCGTACAAATATCATCAGTTATACGTTTCAAATATAGGTATCGAAGTTATGTCGGAATTTCGACATGATTATGTTGATATCTCGACTTAGCTATGTTGAAATTTCAACTTAGCTATGATGAAATTTCAAGATAGTAAGTTGAAATTTCGACAAAGCTAAGCCGAAATTTCGACTTACTATCTTGAAATTTCAACATAGCTAAGTTGAAATTTCAAGATAAAAAATTTTGATGGTGGCCCTAATACGCTTCCGTATGATACATCTATGAAATCAGATCTTCATGGAGAATAAAAAATTTCAATAAAATAACAAAGTTGTTGCTACTTTTTTATAGAAGCAGAAACACTGCATTGCTCAGAATATTTTGAATGTAGAAGATAGATTTCTCCCTACTGATTCTGGATATTGAGTAAGTGTAAGCTCGTCGTGACATACCCTGTATATCGGTCGGACAAGTCTGAAGTTTGATTAGCGTATTCAGGAATATAAGAAGAACTTTTGAAGGAGAAAACAAATGCAACATACGCCAACCATATATCAGAATAAAACCATAGTTCTGATGATAATTTCGAAATTCTTTATACAGTGTGTCCATTTAGTACGTAATTCTTCGATATCTCGAAAGCCATAACCTATAGAGAAAAACTTTGGAAAAAAAACTTTTTCAGTTACTGAAGTTGCTCATTTCAAAATTATTTTCAATATTGCTGGGTGTTTTATAAAAGCAGGGCAACTCGAAGAAGAGTTTTTTTTCAATGGAACACCCAGTATTGTTCATTCGGAATTAATTCCGTCGAGGTTCACCTTCACATCGCTGTGAAAAAAATTGAAATCGGTTGCGGCGTTGCCAAGTTATAATTGATAAAGCTATTTTTACCATTATTGAAGAGTCATGTTGAATTGAGCATGGTATATTCATTCATTCAGATATTGAAAATATTTTTGGCATACGGTAGGAGCAAGGTCCAACGTATACCAATCCAGTAATTTTGCGACATGTTCTTCAACAGGGTGCTTAATTTTGCGTTTAGAATTTTGCAAGATTCAGATGACATTCATCAGAATTTTTCAAATGGAAAAATATTTCCAACGATACTGGGTGTTTCATAAAAGCGGGGCAACTCGAAGACGAGTTTTTTCAAATGGAACACACAGTATTGTTCATTCGAAATTCATTCCGCTCAAGTTCAGCTCTACATCGCTGTAAAAATGATTGAATTTGGTTGCGGCGTTGCCAAGTTATAATTGATAAACCCATTTTTACTACTATTGACGGGTCATGTTCAATTGGGTATGGTATATTTATTTATTGAAATTTCGAAAATATTTTTGACATATAGTAGTAGCAAGGTCTCACTTATACCAATCCAGTAATCTTGCGAGATTATTTTCTACAGGGTGCTAAAATTTACATTCTGAATATTGTAAGATTCAGACGACGATCATGAGAAATGGTAAAAATAGCTTTATCAATTATAACTTGGCAACGCCGCAACCGATTTCAATTTTTTTCACAGCGATGTGAAGGTGAACCTCGACGGAATTAATTCCGGATGAACAATACTGGGTGTTCCATTAAAAAAACTCTTCTTCGAGTTGCCCTGCTTTTATAAAACACCCAGCAATATTGAAAATAATTTTGAAATGAGCAACTTCAGTAACTGAAAAAGTTTTTTTCACAAAGTTTTTCTCTTGTGATAATTGATTTCGAGATATCGAAGAATTACGCACTAAATGGACACACTGTACACGTAGATAATTGAGGAATAAAACTCAATCATTCTCCATCAGTAGAAATCAACAGACCTATATTACATAATGATCAACAAGACCTCAATAGTTAACCACTGTTGAATTTGTTTTCTTAGTAGGTAATGATATTTATATTTGCTATCAATTCTTTCTAGTCAATCTAGTACACCATAATCAAATCTAAATATTCTGGTTGTTTTCAGATAATAAAAGTTCATTGAACTTTTCCACAGGTTGGAAAAGTAGGATATAGAAAAGTTAGGTAAGCCAAGGTTAGTTCAGTTCATTGCCCCAGTATTTCACCTGATGAAGCTACTATGTTAGCGAAACATGTCGTTTCATTCAGAATTTTGTGGAAATCGTTTGTGGAGTTTTTAAAACTGTCTGGATTTCCATCGAGTAACGGCCGGGTCAATCAAAATAATATTAATCGAATCAGACAAACAGAAAATGCTTACTTTTGTTAGTTCACCGTATCCCATTGGTAGAAATGCATCTGCCTTATATGGATCAGTAGGATAAGTGTCCTTGATCTCTGGAGTTCGTGCACCATGTCTGAAAATCTGCATAATTCGATGAGAAATGATAATCGAAAAAAGAATTCAATATGGATCCAAACAACGTGACAAAAAACCGTCTGAATCGATAGGGCCCTTATTCATTCAGCTATTGATGAACAAAAAAAAACAAGTAAATTTTTCTTCACTTGAAAAAAGCTTGACAAAAAAATTTCGCTTTTTGAAAAATTATTGTTGGACCAAAATATGTAATTTCACCAAATTGTCCTATTCGTATCTATCATAATCATTATATCATGTGATCGTATAATATTAGTTCACGTGCGACCATAGCTATCTGAATGCAATTTTGAGACTGACAACTCCTTCGAGTGCTTTGGTGCAGCATTTGAACCACGAATTTCTTGGAGTTAGAGGTATGCTGGGACAAAATATATCCCGCTCGGCAATGGGCTTATGATTTGTGGTACGACGGTTTATTTTCTCTCCCGCCCCATATAACTTACTCATATTGGTCTTTAGAATCATATGTTATAAGCTGAAGCGAATTAAACGATACATTATTTGTAAATAAAATAAACTCGAAATTTGTTCCTTACGTTGTGTTTCTCCTCTCAAATTGCGGCTGCAAATTTCATGCTTATCATGTGATTACATGTTTTGTTGCATGAAATACTGTCTAGGCAACATAGGTAAGCTACTTGCTATATTATTCCAACTTATATGTTTATTTTTCGTTTACAATATCTGAAAATCTACGCTGTTTGAAATCTGTCCCACCATACAACATGACCAAAACATTTTTCAAGGATAATGATGAGGAAAATGATGTCGAATTCAATTTTAACAACATTATACTGTCGGATATGAATATCGAGACACCAGGTATATATTATAGGTATATGGATACATGTGCCCAGGAGATTTGAAACCGCGGAGTTGAAACCAGTGATAGAGAAAAAATGGTGTGGAATGGATGAGATCGTTCAGCCAAAAGATTTCAATAGAACCTCTGGAGTTGCTCAAGATGGATAATCTCTTTCGAATCGTCAGATAATTACGGACAAATTATTGAATCACATAGTTCTCCAGATCAATCTATATAGCAGAATTATCAGACGACTGGAAAGACATATAAAGGAACAGATATTCATGAAATATTTTTCTTGAATGCCGCTGTAGTCAACTCATTCAATCTTCACAAAATACTCTATATCTTCCAAAGTTATCAATGAAATATTTGATCATTTAGTCGTCAATAAATATCAGTATCTCCATCGAGAACATCAACCGAATGGACGATTCGAATAGAGAAAAACACCCAATCAAAGCCCGGTAATAAGAGTCACACAGGGTGCTCATTAACCTACCCGAACAAGTCGAAGGAGATGATGCTCTTTGCAATTCAGGAGAGTTTGAAGTTAGAATAAACTGGTTGTGTGTTTCACTCTGTCTTGCAAAGAACAAAACATGTTTGCAGACGTTTCACAGTGATTTGAAATAAGTCGATTCTCATGAAATCTTTCACTTTATGGAATGGTGGGTTAGATTTTGACCCAACGTTCTTTTTTTTGTAAAAAGTCGTTCGTATCTTTTGAGACATTTGGAGTTAGTTTGTTTATAAGTTTCTTGGAAATCTGAAGAAAAATGAAGCTGTACATCTATTTCGAAATTCCTGTACCTGAAAGAGTTAAAAAGTGGAAACGGCGTGAAAACTCTAAAATATATCACATTCTGATCCATAATGAATTTCTGGGGAATTCAGAAATGTTCCATTTACAAAATTCAAAGTCGGAGCCATTTCTGGTGAAACCGGAAGTGACCAAATGTTCGCGAATATGCGAGAAATTTATTTTTCGCATATTCTACATTTTACTTGATTATTTTGGATTTTCCCTCCTCGTTTCTATAAAATAAAAATATGCGTATCATTTCAATATATTTGTAGTGGAACAAATCAGATGGTTTGCCCCAAAATGTCACTGCGTTCAACAAATTTTTTCATCAGGGAGCCTGAAAGAAAAATCCAGTAGCTTATGAGTGACAATTTGTTTGAAAAACTGTTCAGAGGAATGAAATATACATATATTGAAAAAATATAGAATCTTTACTTAACTATGGACGTTTCGGGTCCGAATCTGCTCCCGTTCTCAACATGAAAATGTGGAATATTTCTCTTTGGAAGTTGTACTACTTATAGTATGACAGTTTTCAGTGTCATACTGATTCTGGCAAATGAGTTACAGGAGGATTTTATTGATCGATCTTGAATCTACCGTTTTCATGTTTAGTTTTCAGTAGTGAATACCATGTTTTATTTATATCACCTGAACAGGAAGCAATGCTATTGCCTTCGTTCAGAAGAATGCTAGCGGATCCCTTGATTTTTCTTTTTTTGTTGTTATCTGCCTTTCCTATGATTTTGATACTATTCCACTCTGCCATATGTTGTCCATCTTCAGTAAGGATATGTTCAGTTATCTTCGATTCATCAATATGTCTTTTATTGATATTATGCTCGTGTTCTTTAGGCCTTACTGAGAGAGGTCTTGTCGTTTCACCTGTGTAATACTTTCCACAAACACAAGGTATACTACGAATACAATTTTTTGATGATTGTTCTTCATTTTTTGGCATTGTTTGAGTTAGAATGAATCTCATTGTATTTCCAGTTTTGAACACGTACAAAGATGAGTGAAGATTCGATATTTTCTCAATATATCTATATTCCTCTCCTTCAAACATTTTTTCAAACGAATTGTCACTGGCAAACTACTGGATTTTCCTTTTAGGCTTCCTGATTAAAACATTTGTTGAACGCAGTGACATCTCGGGGCAAATCATCTGATTTGTCCCACTACAAATATATTGAAATAATACGCATATTCACATTCTACAGAAACGACGAGATAAAATCCCAAAAAATCAAGTAAAAAGAATATACCACTTCTTCGATTAACCTACAGACAGTATTTAGGAAATAAAATACTTACAATATGAACAAATTCCAGAGTGCTACTTCCAGTTTGCAACGAATTCACTACATTATACAAAAAAATTAAATACTGAATGGTGTTCATCCTGACTACCTATAACACTGAACGTGTGGATGGAAAGGACTGAATGAAAATTGGTTCAAACATTCATGTTCAATACCTTCCTCATCATACTGATGAAAATTATGCAGATAAATATCAGCAGTTCAAGTAATCGCTGACCTTTCTTATAAAATATGAATTATATGAAACTAGTTTAACCTTCATAAAAATATAAATCTACTCTTGAATGAATCGACTCGTTATTCTCCACCTGACTTGAATATAATATAATTGAATAGTATATATAGGAATACCCGACGTAAACTCTGGAAAAGTGTCACTCATGTTACACAACGTTTCATCACATTGATTTCAGCTCGTCATAAATAGTTATTCATTATACAAGGGAAAAAAGTAGTAGATTTTTCCTGCGTATAATACACTATTTTTGTCTGTGACAGAGGAAAGGACGAATCAATATCGAGAAGATATCACATTATATTGAAATAAGAAAATTAGAGACGTGAAATTTGAAGTTTTCAACAGGAGGGACACCTGCGTTGTAGGCATATTCATCATTCTTTTGAAGTTATCAAATATCTGATGTCACTTCTGTCAGTCTGATTCTGTGATTTGATGTTGAATTATTGCGAATTTAGTGGTTGTTTAGTAATGTACGTAACCGCAAAGTCGAATGGAAGATGGAAGGACTTGTAGTCCTTTCTCGGAGACGGTTATATTGACTTATTTCTCGGAACTATAGCACAACAAAAGCGATCAACAGTGTATATTCTGTATATACCGGGTGTTTCTTAGAAGTGGCTCACCCCTATAACTTTTTTGTTTCTACAGATAAACAAATTAGATTGGGTGTGTGAGTAGTACATAAATATGCATTGATCGACGTATTCGATTGTGTTCTGTCACTTCCGGTTTGACCGGAAATAATTCTTATTTTCTCATTTTAAATGGGACAACCAGTATATTTTCAATAATTTCCATGAAAAATCAAGCTGTGAGTGCAATGAGACCCTATTTGTCACTTTGCGACATATTATTTCATGCTGGAATTTTCATTTTTCAATTTTCAATCTGGAGTGCCATGACATATAGTGATTGTGTGGTATCAAATTGTTCGTAACAAAATTCTCTTTTCAGGCATGGTAATGAGCCACCTTTGTTGTATTCGAAAAAATAAGCATAATATACGGTCGTTCTGACCATCAATATTTTTCCTATTGCTCCTAGAGAGATGAAAAAATCTTTCGATGAAATTGAATGATATAATCACACTAAACATCACACATAATACTGATGATCCGTTTGAACTAGAACGTATTATTATTCATTGTTGACAAATATGTGAACTAATTGGCTATTAACTCAACTATATTCTTCAAATTTCCATTCCTGTTTCATTGAGTTATATTCTTTCAATTCTTTATGATCACTCGATTCTCCATCGTGTCGATTCTCTCAAGGGTAGTGCAGAGCCAATATCATGAAACTAAATCAGAGACATGACACAGACAGCTAATTGTCGAGAAAGGGTCAACTTTATGCTCAATTTATCTTTCTGTTGAATACAATAACACATGAATGACTGGCTATTTCCTGTAGATGTGTAGATCAATATCGAACATATATATGATCACAGATCATTCAAGTATAAAATCATCCATAATTAGAATAATAATCATTATTATGCTGGATTATGATTTGGAATTTTGAGAAATATACCACTTTCATGATCACCGAACACCTCTCGGTTATGACACGAAAATATCATATTTTGTATGTTGATTCAAGAAATTTTACAGATATCTAATGAAACAAGTTGAATCTTGATTTCATTAGTGAAAATTTTATGATAAGAGTTATGAAAAGCAATCTACGAACGAGTACATAACTGCATTACGATTTGCCCTAATATTCAGTAATTCAAGCCCTCTGCACAATATTCTCGCAGATAGAATGGTGTAGAGTTTATTATTTTCAAATAACTATATGAGTTGTTCTCCTATCATCTTTCAAGATTTCATAACTTGATGAGAACCTTCGATTGATGATGATATAACAAGTACACTTGATATTTCAAAACAATTAAACAAAAAATAGTGAAGTGAGCTGAATGCCAAATTGTTTTAAGCGATAGTTTCATCATATTTTCTCAAAACCTAATAATAGGATAGACATGAAGGCCAATTTGCTCATTCCAGGGCATTCATAAAACGGAAGAACAAATGAGACCTATCATTTGCGCTCACATAACCTCTTCGAAGTCTCATCGAAGCTATTAAGGATTTAAAATGTTACTTGGGATGCCTTTTGTAAAAGACAGTCTACCCAGAGTGGATCCTGTTTCGCGCAGTGCTCCAGAGCAGCAACTGGCGAAGCCTGGTTCACTGGCGAAGAAATGTGGTAAGGCCTTGTTGATCAGCTTGTCCTAAAGTGACAGCAGTTTCGTCCCAAGTAGCACCGAAGAGGGATCTTGACAGGTTCACAGCGTCAGGGGTGTCGAGGATCAATATCAAGATGGATACCTCGTGCTTGGTTATCCAGCGGTCCAAGTGGGAGGCCCACAGATCAATAAAAATAGATTCTGTGGAACTCAGAAACACTTCATTCCTAACCCCCAAGTCTTCCCATGAGAATCAGGGAGCGACCTTACTTCAATCATATATGAACATCATTCCTACGTGATTTCTTTTTTGGAAACAGCAAGCAGCAAGAAACGAGAATATCATTCAGGGAAAGTACCCTGAGACAAGTTGATTTTTTTTTCTTCTTCTTTTTCTGATGTCATCCATTTTGAACACGTATTGATTTTGACTGAAAGTATCCCACTATAGTGTGATAGATTCATCCAGTGTCTGGGGTACAATGATTCCTTTTACATAACTATTAAGTTTGTTGTGCTTCAAACTTTGCTTTTCGTCCTTTTTATCTGATATTTATCACACAAGAACTGCAACTGAGTATGAAAAAAATGTTTCGCTTCCTACGTATGCCTGCATTGTCTTATAGTGGTAGAAAATCTTCCTCATCGATAAGATTTCATGTAACATGATGTGAAATATGTTAAAATTCCGAGGTATGATACCATCTAACAAACCGAAATCGACCTAGTCAACCTGACTGAACCCAAACTATCCAAACCACATTTTGCTATTACATGATAGGTACCCATTCAGGTAATCATTCTCCTGCAACGAAATAAGTTCATCTGTTTGCGTTATTGCCATATTTCTGTTGTACCTTGTATACATATCCTCAGGAGTATCTGTTCATTCGAGTAAAATCTACATCTTCAAGGCGAATTTGCTGATTTATATTTTCTAAATATTCAAGAAATAATCTAAATGCATCGTTGTATTACAGGGTGGCCAACAAAGACTCCTAGTTCGATTTATCTGTTGTCTTGAGAGATACAAAAGAAGTTTTTCATTCAAATTAAAGTGATAACCGAGCTTCACATTTAAAAATTTCTTTGAAATACACAGGGTGTTCCGTAAGGTCTCAGCACATCAAAGCTATGTATTTTTATTGGAACACCCTATATTTTATTTCATTCTTGAATTCTCCCTGAAGAGCTGATTCCAACGTCTCATCATACTTGGGGTCTAGCAGTAATATTTACTGAGATAAAGGGTGTGAAAAATCAAGATTCTCCAAGTTCAGGACCTTTTTGTGTCGAAACTATCCATTATTCGTCGAAACGGTTCACTTGTCCCTATCTTAACTTTTCACTCACTATCAATTGGTGTTCAATTGAAATTGATACAAGGTGGTCAAAAAATATGAAATTATAATGTGTTTTAATTAAATGTCAATTGAACATTGAACACCAATTGATAGTGAGTGAAAAGTTCAGATAGGAACATGTAAACCATTTTGACGAATAATGAACAGTTTCGACAGAAAAAATCCTGAACTTGGCAAATCTCGATATTGCACAACCTGTATGTCAGTAACTTCCACTGCTTGACCCTAAGTATGATGGAACACTCTGTGTATTTTAAAGGGATTTTGAAATGTGAAGCTCGGTTATCACTTGAATTTGAATGCGAAACTTTTTTTTGTATCTCGCAAGACAACAGAGGTATGGAACTCTGGAGTCTTAGTTGGCCACCCTGTACATGAAGAATCTCATCTTCATAATACGGATTGAGATTTGAAAAATCTCAAATTCATTTCGAGACTTGACAACAAACTCTATGTTTATGGTATCAAACTTCATAATTCTATCTATGGAATTGAGAAAAACATGTTTCATCTTTTATATATTCCATGTTGAGTTATTGTATTCGATAACTCACATTATCCAGAAATATCCACACAATGTGAACTATTCAAAAAACATCACGAACAATCTCTGTTATTGAATTATTCGACATAAGGAGTGTGATTGGAAATTTTCTGGAATTGTTCAATGACAAAACATCGAGCTTCATTATTATGGTCGAAACAAAAATTCCAAAAAATATGTTTTGCTCATACGAGAACGTAACGAGACCACTGCAATTCAACACTACTACAATTATTATCCTGTAAATTATCAATCTGGAAAATATATAGTCTCATATTGCTATAGAATGAAGAGAAAGGACCCCGCAAATTTTCAAGGTAATTTGGGTCCCGGTGGATTTTTCTCAATTTTTGGTATGATGTAGTTCATTCGATTCAGTTACATATTGGCATTGCGCCAACCCCCAAAAATGAACAGTTTTTTTGCTAGGGGGGTTTAAATTCACATTTTGACCGAATTGATTATTTATTTCTGAGAGAATGAACAATATTCTAGAATTTTTTATTTCATCTAATTTCTCCTATGAATATATGCTTTTTGAAAAAAATATAGTGGGGGGGAATTATTACCCCAAACTCCCATTTTGAAAAACGAAAAAAAAAGAGAATTCGCCTAACCGTCAAAAGTGATAGAAAATGTTTCATTACCCAGAATTATGGAAACCGCCTTTTCGTATTATTGCCCCTCACCGAATGGGAGGCGCCCATGAAAAAAAAGTTCGGTGGATTTCGCTGAATTTTTGATATGATGTACTCTATATGATACTGATCAGAAAATAATTGGGTGACAATCCTGAAAAATGGACAG